GAGTGAAACGTAAACATGTTACTCTTTCATTAAATGAAAAATTAGCAGTGCTACAAAGACTGGACAAAGGGGAAGATTGTTTATTTTAATTTTTTCTGATAATCCGGCCTTTTTTGCGTTCCAACCATACCCCCAGTCCCAAAAGTGACGGATTAGAGGGGTTCTACTGTAATTACATTTGCATAATTTTTAATTCAGAAATGTTCGATAATTCTTCGTTTTAACAAATTTTTAGATTTATATAATATTTTAACATCGTTTCTATTAATTTTACAATTAAAACTATTACAATGTTGGTATCATAGTGATTCTTGTCTTTTCAAACAGATTGCAGCCTCGTGTTCTTTTAACCTTTTTTTTAATTTTTGTTTTTCCTATGTAACATATCGGGCTAAGGCAGGGGTGACCAACAGTTTTTGCCCACAGGCCAAATTGGAAAGAAAACTTTCTATGGTCCGAACCAGAGGCTGCTCTAGGAAGATTTTAAGATGGTGCGAGATCTCATTGTGGTGTCATCCCATAGAGACTAAATTACAGATATATTTTTCATATTACCATGCTTTATCAACATTCTACGCTGTACTTACGAGATTTGTAATGGGGGGTTAACTCTAAACGCACAGTGAATTGTTGACCTTTTTTCTTTTTTTCTTTTTTTAGGCATCAGAATTTTTCATTGAGCTATTTGGACTTGAGTAGCTAATATTAGAAGATTGATCATGGGCCACATAAGTTCATTAGATGGGCCGTATGTTGGTCATGCCTGGGCTAGGGCATGTACATGATAATTTGTAGCTAACTCCTGTAGTCTCTAGTTGTTTTCCTAATGTACAGTAGAGCATCGATTATCCGACTCAATTGGGGACTGGGGTTGGTCGGATAATTGAAAAAATCGGATAACCGAAAAGTATGAAAAAATCCATTATTAATGTAGTATATTATTATATCCCATGTAATTAGTATATTAGTATATCGCTATTAACCTATTTCGCGTTGAATTTTCATTGATGTTAAACCTAACAAATTTTTTAAAAATAATAATCGTCGCTATTGTATCCTTAAAAATGATTTTATTGCTCACAAAACAAACAACCACTCATAATTAAAAAATTAAGCCTCGTTTAAATACCAGCCTCCCTTTCATGGTCGAGCCAGTGTAGCCAGCTAAAACACGCAAAAATTTAACAAAAATAATATTAAAGTAGTTAAGACATAGTCAAATATTGTAGCGCCACATCACTAGCGGACATTTGAATTTGCCGACTAGAACGCGGTCGGTTAATCGGGGGTCGGATAATCGATGCTCTACTGTACTTTGATCTTTGTTTATAATGTTAATTATATCCATTAGCCTGTTTTTTTCTTGTTTTGCTACTATATAAATAGAAAATTTATTAAATTCTGGTTTATATTTTTCAAAAAGATGATTTATATATGGGAAATTAATATATACAGTATTGGATCTTTGATTCTTAACATGGTCTCTATTATTTATATATTGATAATAATAATACCACTTACATACAATATTCTTTGGGTAGTTATTTAATAAATATTTTTTAAAAAGTTGCTTTGTCTCTATTTCAATATCTTCCTGGAGTGTTGTTCTATTTATTATTTTCTTTAATTCCATCAGAAATATAATTCTCTTAATTTCTATAGGACAATACAAATTATAATTAATTGTTTTTCATACAGAAATATAATTTCATTCCTTCTCTTCTTATAGTTACATCAAGTCCAAAGTGATAGATGGATACATTGATTTTACATCAAGACTCATTATGTGAATTGATTGCTTGATTTTACCCTTTAATAGTCCATTTATTAATTGGCCTGTATTCTTTGTTATATTCGGATTTGGTTATTTCCTGTAAGTAGGTTTTTGATAATTTTCTAAATTATATAATTTAGAATTTTTAAAGTCAACTAAAGGTCTACATGTATTTCCTGGTTTGTGTTTTAAGTCTTATATTTAATTTAGGTACTCTTACATTATTGAAGTCTAAGATGTTCTTTAATTGTTGATTCGAAAATTCATTCTTGTACATCTTTATTAGTTTAGTAAGTCTTCTTTTCAGAAGTTTGTATTCTTCTGTTGATACAATTTCTAATTTCTTAGATTGTAAATCTTCTGTTTTTAGTATGACCAATTGATGTGATTCATATGCTTTAACAATAGAGAGTTTATTTCTTTTAAAAAATTTAGTTAATCTTTTGGATTTGTTAATTACTTTAATCGATCTGCTATATAATCTCTATTAGATTTATTTTTACTTTTATATTTTAATAGGTATTTACTTAAAGTAGCCCTTAATTTTCCTTTTTCTTCGTTATTTCCAGGGATCTTTTGTATAGCATTTTCAATTTCATCCACTATCACAATTGATTTTTTATACATTGGAAGGTTCATATTATAACCACAAGACAGCAAATGTAAATAATTACATGGTATCTCAACATTTGTTAAATTAACTATTAATTCATTCAGCCACTCATCTTTTTCTACATTTGAAGGATAATCAAATTTTTTGGTTAATCTAATACTTTTATTTAGACTATATTGATCAATAACATTTTAAATTAGTATTACTGTTAGTTCTATTAAGTCTCTTCAATTAAGTTTTTTACGTAATAAAAATATTTTTTTACTTTTCTTCTTTATTGCTCATTTTATAATTGGCTTTTCTATTTTCCTTTTATCTCCAAACCGGATACTTATTCTTATAGATGCTGGCAAATGAAACGTGGTTGGTATTTGTTCTTCATGTAAAAAGTACTTGGAATAGTCAATATCCATTGTCAATCTGTCTATCCCCATTTTTCAATTCTTAAAATATTGTATATACATATATATGTACAAATTAAAAACAATGGGATTGGTAATAATGGGGATGTATGTACTGTGTTTTTTTAATGTGGCAGTCTTTGAAACATTGCAACTGTGCAAAAAGAGGGATAGCTGTACTCAATGTTCACAGTAAATAAAATGCTGTTTTATTGTGTCGATATCCCACACCATAAGAAATGTGGGGTCGGGATTTGGACAAAGTTGGTCAAGGAAAATCAGGGAATTCAAAACAAAAATTTGAGTAGGAACCCTTTATATATCTATATTTATATATATATATATAAAAATGGACGTGTATGTCCCTATATTTCACTTTTCTGCCAAAACTACACACCGCACATGAATGGTGTTTGTATGTGGTAGTAGCCCCAAGTCTCCATTTGTGCACCAGGGGGGTTGCGTCTCGATAGCTATAAGGGTGCGGGAGATATGGGCTTGAAAGTGGTTGAAAGTGGTTCTCTATTTCGAATTTTATGTTCAAATTTGTTCGAATTTAATTCGAACATAAAATTAGACTATTGGTTCGATTATAGAACGATTGTAAGCGTTCCAGAAACGTTGAAAATAATTTGTTTGACTGGACGTGAACAGGAGTCATTCAGAAATAGAATCGGGACCAGGTCTCTAATTAGTCTGGAAACGGGGGACCTAATTCTTGCATTCTGTGAAAACGGGTAAGATTGGCTATAATGTAATTATCTTAATCTTCACTATCGTTACTTTTTGCCCAGCGAAGCGGGTCCTTGCAGCTAGATTCTAGATTACTTAGAAAAACAGTCTTTTATATATATATAAAAAACTATACTATTACATACAAATAAAAACCCAGCGAAGCGGGTCCTTGCAGCTAGATTCTAGATTACTTAGAAAAACAGTCTTTTATATATAAAAAAAAACTATATTACATACAAATGTACGAACAAATAAAACCCAGCGAAGCGGGTCCTTGCAGCTAGTTTACATATAAATATACAGTTCAGTGTCAATAATCCAATTAAAAATTTCAAAATAACTTTTAAATTAATAAATATTTCATTGATAATTAGCATTCAAAACTAAATTCTTAGTACAGTGGGTGATCAGTTAATGAACAGTTCTGATAACGAACACTTTCATGAAAGTTTATGTTTGGACAGTGAACACATGTTCAGATAATGAACACTTCACAGAACATACTGAGAAAGAAGCAACATAAAATAGTGAATACTGATTGATCTTCCCTTGTCTCCAGGTGACAATTCAAAACATTTTGGAGCTCTGGATTTTTTTATGGTCTTTGCGAGACTGTTGGGCAGGTACTCGTTAAGTTTTGTGTCGGTTTTTATTTACAAAAGGTGAGTTTAACCGTTCCATCAGTTATTCATTAACATTTTAATACCAAATTTCAAATTTCATCTGGGCCTTGCATTTAAATAATATTTTGTGTGCTAGTTGATTTCTGTTCTTTGAATTTTTGTAAGTGCTTTTCTGAACTTATTATTTAAAAAAGAAATTGATAATATTATGGAGCATAAAAAGAGTGGAGTGTCAAGAACCATGCTCATCGTAGAAACCAAGCAAGATATAATAGCCAAGATAGAGTGGACAGAAGATGTCTGATGTTGCTTGGCAGTATGGATTGAACAGATCTACAGTAAACAGAATCTTAGCTATGAAAGATATATCAAGAAGTCTCAAGCAATTAAAGATCTTTTGAGGAAGTGGGAGGATATCAGAACAATGGACATCCAAACCAGAATGAGGTTAATAGGCTTGGAGATCTCTACAATTACAATGCTATTAATTACTTCCAAAAAATCCTGAAGGGAGAAAAGCAATTGACATTGGACACAAATGGAAAAAAACATATAATAAAAATGCAAGACTGTGTATATATGTATTTTTATTATTACATATATACAGGTATACCTCACCTTATGTCAGTAATTGGTTCCAGGAGAGGCGACTTAAGTTGAAAAATGACGGAAGTCAAATTTACTTGTCACTAGGCTAAACTACAAATAACCATTCCCAGTTCTGTATTTTATTTATAAATGCATTTTTAATAATATATGGTTAATACAAATCTATTTTAAGCTTACAAATAAATAAATTTAGTTTTTAATATAGTGCAGAAAAAAGTAATCTAAATTTATGAATACATCTACAGTACATACTTGTAAATGTACATGTTTACAATTTGGCGATGTTTACACTACATTGTGGACTTTATTTGTAAATGTGGTTTGCTCTGAGTTTTATTTACTTATCGCGTTTATTCTTTCCAATTTTAGCAATTATCCCATCAGTAGTCGTTCGCACATGTTAAATAATAATATCAAAAGAAAATTAATGACGTCGATATTGTCTAAACTTTGTTATCAACAATGACGTTACTAGTAAGAAGAAACCTATGTAAACAGTGGCACCGTTTGAATATCTGCTAACCAACATTCCAACCGACCTCACTGTACCTGAAGAAGGTGATTCAAAACAGCTGTAAACATTTGTACTTAGTGATTAAACTGCTAGAATGGTTTTTAAACTGCTGAAACAAAGTATGAAAGGTTTTGTATTAGTTGCTCTAAGACATTATAAAATAATATGATTTTGTAAGGTTAAATAACAAATACAGTTATGAAAATTATTTCATAATAATAGAAAAAACTAATTTATGTTAAATTTACCATTTTTTACATGCAATTTGTTTATTTACATCGCGGACGTAGATGGCTGTGGATTGTCAGCATAAACAGTTGATTCTGAGTATTTTAATATGATTTTATATACTTTTATTCTTATTTATTGTACAGTAACATGATTTTGTGCTTTTAACACTTTTCTAGTGATATTACGACTTCAATATTTGTTATGCACAGACGTAAAGTCGGATAAAATGACTTAAACTTGATTTTTATTTTTCTGTGTATTTTTTTAACATAATCAAGAATGACTTAACTTGAAATGACGTAAACCAAGGTATACCTGTACTTCCTTACTTCATTTATTTATATTTTTTATTCTTTGGAGTCTCCAGAATGAATTAATCAATTCCCATAAAAACCTATGGTAAATTGATAATTGGTTAACGAACAATTCGGATAGTGAACAAAGTCTTGGAACGGATTATGTTCATTAACTGATCACCCACTGTAATTGTAAATTAAAAGTTTGAAAGTTTTTAAATTGTTTGAAATGCTATTGTCATAATATTCATGGGCATCTGCAGAAATTTTTTTTAGGTTTTTTTCACAAGTTGACTATAGAATATGGTAGTGCATCAATATGAAAAGACAGACAAAGCTTCTCACAGTCGAGGGTGTAAGGTTACGTATCTCGCTCACTCTTATGATTATATTTGTGGAATTTTTTGCTTGATTCCAGGGGCAAGTGCCCCAGTTTTCCCTCTTTATGGATGATGATATTCACAATTTAATGAGAACAAAAAAGTTTTTTATACCGACCTTTGAAGATAAAAGTGATAGCAATAGACAAAAGTAGTAACATTTCATTGGATTCTCTTAGAATACGTTTAACGTAGAGAATGAATAGAAATTTATTAATAAACACAGTCAATTTATTTTGCGTTAATAACAGTTGGAATATAGTATGTTGAACTTACAGTATGGTTAACTTCAATAGAGAGAATAGAATTCATTATGCAAGTTAACAAAGAGAATATTTATAAAGGATTCTTTTTGTATAACTCTGTTTAATGATAAATATTTACATCCCAGAAATATTTGTTATAACTTTTTTATATACAGTAGACCCCTATAAAACGGGTTCATATAGTTTGGATTCCTATATGACGGTGAAAAAATTGCGACCATATTCGTATAATTTGGTAAAACATCATTGCTGACTCGTGTTGTGACGGGATTGGTCAAATCTAGACCAATAGCAGATATTGCACAAACCACTGAGTTTAAACGAGCAGTGGACCTACTAAAAACCATTTATTATTTAATGTCCATAAATATTTATATTAATTAATTAATGATGTCTCCAAAGTTCAGCAAAGTTTTCACAGAAAAATAATTTATCAGGAAACACATGAGTGCATTCGATGCACCACTCCATGACGAAAACAAGCTTAAGCAATGGCGTCGTTGAACGGTGCACACTCGGTAAGTAATCCTACAATTTTTTGTTTATAGCATAGTTTATATGGATTATTCCCAAAAAATTATACGTATTTTGGAAATGTTGAGTTGAATTAGTCTAGAATCGATTAATTTTATGGAAGAAAACCTTTCAAACAGCTGTAGTCTGTAAACTGCATACATGCCGGGCTGTGATTGGTTCATGTATTTAAGGACTCGTAGAACATCAATTTCGTAAAGAACAGAATGTATCTACTGTGTTATAGGGGGGTCAACTGTATTTAAATAATGATAAAATGTAACTAGTTTCATACAAATTAATTTACTCCACTTCAGTTTGTGTGTTTAATTAATTTCAAAGGCTTTATTTTACATTTTTAGAGAGATCTTTGTATTATATCAGGCTGTTGAAGTCTCAATAGATAGTTTTTTCCCTTATAGTTATGAATTTTAGAATCTCAAGTTTATTTTTGTACATCATTATGTTTGTATAAAGGATGTTTGGATTAGTTTTGTTTTTGTATTTCAAATTTAATGAAAAAAATATTTTACTATTTATAAAATTTCAATTTTCAACAATTAGAATATATCTAATGTTTTATTTTTAGGAAGACGAAAAAGTTATTGAACTCGTAAAAAAGTTTGGCGCAAAGAAATGGACACTCATTGCAAAGTATTNTTGTATTTCAAATTTAATGAAAAAAATATTTTACTATTTATAAAATTTCAATTTTCAACAATTAGAATATATCTAATGTTTTATTTTTAGGAAGACGAAAAAGTTATTGAACTCGTAAAAAAGTTTGGCGCAAAGAAATGGACACTCATTGCAAAGTATTTGAAAGGAAGAATTGGAAAGCAGTGTAGAGAGAGGTTTGTAAATTGTGTGTAGGATTATGTAAAAAATTAAAATATTAAAATGATAATTTTTAAAAATCATTCTTGTAGATGGCACAATCACCTAAATCCTGACATCAAGAAGACGGCCTGGACGACCGAAGAAGAAAGGATCATATGCAAAGCTCATAAAGAATTGGGAAATCAATGGGCTAAAATAGCCAAACTCTTACCTGGAAGGTAAGTTTAAAATAATATCAGGTCAGTCCATAAGTTCGTGCGCATTTTTATCTACAAAAAAAGCAATAAAAAATTTTAATTAAATCTTATTTCAATCTATAATGTATTCACTATTATTTTGTTCAATTTCTTGCCATCTTGATGGTAGCTTTTTAATCCTGTCTTTGTAAAATGATTTCGGTTTTGAATCAAAATATTCAGAAATAGCCTTTTTTACATTGTTCTCATCCTCAAAAGTTTTTCCTTTTAAAAAATTCTGCAAACTCCGAAAAAGATGATAATCAGTGGGAGCAATATCTGGTAAATATGGTGGATGAGGTAAAATTTCCCAGTTGAAGCTTTGGAGTTGAGCAGTTGACGTTGTCAGTTAGCTATTGACAGTTCATGTGGTATCCATTTTCCTAGCTTTGAAACTTTTCCGATTTGTTGTAGATGTCTATGAACAGTTCCATGGGATGAATTTAAACGTTCCACAATTTCATCAACTGTTAAAGATGGTTCTGCTTCAACTAGTGCAGAGAGAGCATCATCATCAAAGTCAACGGGTCTTCCAGTACGAGCCTTATCCTCCACACTAAAATCATTATTTCTAAATCTTTCAAACCACTTCTGCGCAGTCCTTACACTTGTTACAGTTTGATTATGAACAGTATTTAATTTTTTGGCTGCATTTGTAGCATTCTCATCACTTAAAAATAAAAAGTATAAAACATGTCTCTTATATTCATCTGTTACTTCCATTTTAATGAAAATAAACAACTGAAATGTTCCCAATTTTGAACAGTATTATATGAATGAGATCCAATTTAACACTTCAGTGTAAAAAGTATCACATTAGACTGGCATTTTTAACAGCAAAACAAGATTTTTCTCAAGGTCATAAAATATGCAGGAACTTATGGACTGACCTGATACATTATAGTATATACCTTTTTGTTGAATAATTATCCAAAAAGAGTATTTAATAAATGGTTACAAAAAATAATTAACAACAATGAAATAAATACTAAACAAAAAGAACAACAAAATTATAGAACACTACAATATGATAAAACTACATATAGCAGATTAAAACTATTTAAAAATTATAATATACAATTAATACCAGAACAGACAAATAAAAAGTTCATAAATGAAATAGAAGATATTTTAAATCAAGATAGTGTAGTGTACAAGTTAGAATGTGCATGTGAATCCCTGAAAATATACTTAGGAGAAACAAAGAAAAAATTACAAAGACTGAAAGAACAAATACAATACAGTGGTACCTCAGGATACGAAATTAATCAGTTCTGACACTCAGATTGTATCATGAAAATGTCGTAAGATGAATCATTTTTCACCATGTGATTACATGTAAAACCAAATAATTTGTTCCAACACGAAAAACACACTCAAAGCTAAGTAGTACATTAAAAAAATAATAACTATAGTAAGGAAAACACTGAAAAATGCATTTTGTAGTTGTAAATGTATAAATAACCATAATAGAATAATAATTGATTAAAAAAATGTGGTTTTATTTGCACTTTACCTTTGAGGATAGACGATGGTGAAGGTGTAAACTGGTGCGGAAGAGAGGGAGAAGGGAAATGATACTAAAACATAACTGACATAACATAATGTAACAATAACTTAAAATAACTTATAAAAGATAAAAAAAAATTAGTGTTGTTTTATATATTTATAGTTTTTTAAAATTTTTATTTACTGTTTTTGCTTTCTTTCCTTCACTTCCACCAGCACTTTCACTGGATAGAGGTCGCTTGGTAAAATATCTATCCAAAGAGGTTTGGCTTTGCCTACTTTTTAAAATGTTTCTAAAATGACTTAGGCAAATGTCATTACTCCGAGCAGCAATACGGCCAGTGTGCCTTTTTGGAATGTTTCTTTTCAATAAAATTAGTCACTTTCTGATAATACCTCAAAATTTCCTTTATCGAGCGAGATCATTCCACGACGAAGCAAACATGTGGATTGAGACGAATGAACAGAAGTGAATAAAAAATGGCGCTGTGAACTAATGTAACATCGTATGGCGTGTTTTTGTTCGTATCGTGGAGCAAAAACATGTTCGAATTTCATGTCGTATCATGAAAATTTCGTATGCTGAGGCATTTGTATCCTGAGGTACCACTGTATATTAAATACAATAATGAGAATTACACCACAGCTAAACTTCGTATTTCCCAAGAATGTGAGATTAATTAATGCAAATTGAGGAAAGATGAAAATTTTAAAAGAAAATTAAAAGACAAAATCAAAAAAGTAAAAATAAGTCTATTAACGAAAATGATCGAATGACACTGCATGAAATGTGGTTATCCGTTTTGAACACCAGGTGATGCACGACAACAAATAGATATTTACATATCAGCGAAACTAGATAAAGGATACAGATTGTGAGTTAAAATTTAATGTCAAATACAAATCAGAAAATACGAAAACACTTGGTAAGATATTAAAATAAGTAAAAACCTAAAAATAATTAAGAAGTAAAAATTAAAATTTCCTTCCTTTTTAACAAATATATTAACATATTGTTAAAATAAAATGGAAGTTAGAAATTTACATAATTGTATAAAATATACTATATATTAGTAAAAGTATTTTGATTTGTAACAGTTGGTTATAATTAACATAAGTATAAACATAAACTTGTTTATGTTTTAACAGAATTATAACCAATTGAGGAAGGGTATGTGGCCCAAAATGTACCTGTTGGTTTAATAAAATCTCAGTGAGCTTTCCAATTGAAAATGTGGTGTGATAAGTTCTTAAAATTTATAAATTTATTTTTAAATAATATATTAAATCTTTTGAACAGTTTTATGTAATTTGCTATAAAATGAGAAACTAAATAATGCTAAAAATGAAAATATATATATATANACTTGTTTATGTTTTAACAGAATTATAACCAATTGAGGAAGGGTATGTGGCCCAAAATGTACCTGTTGGTTTAATAAAATCTCAGTGAGCTTTCCAATTGAAAATGTGGTGTGATAAGTTCTTAAAATTTATAAATTTATTTTTAAATAATATATTAAATCTTTTGAACAGTTTTATGTAATTTGCTATAAAATGAGAAACTAAATAATGCTAAAAATGAAAAAAAAAAATATATATATATATATATATTTTTGTAATATTTCTTACATAATAGAACAGACAATGCCATCAAAAATCATTGGAATTCCACGCTGAAGAAGAGAGCGGAATCTGGGAAACTCGAAGAAAACTTCAAAAAGAGGACATCCGGCCGAGGCTCGTCAAAGTATTCTGTCGTAAGTTTAAAGTTTTAGTTATTTACTTTGCCAACTATTTATTCACGTATAGGGTAAATACAATAGATATTTTCTAATTTTATTTTGAGCTTATCAAATAACTGAACTTCAGTTTTCAAGAATGTTATTTAATTTTCCACATAAATTGCATTACATTAACTAAATTTGCATATTTAGTAGTAATGTGAGTTTTTGAATGTGATCTCTATGCAATCTTATCATTGTATTTTACTTCACTGATTTCTCATATTTTGTATTACTATTTACGTCAGTTTTAATCTTGTGTAAAGTGATGTGCTACAAACTTAGACTGTGATCATGTGCAATAGAGACATTTGCATACAATTTTTCATTATAATTGCACAATTGTATAAGGAGGGAATTTTCTGCCCAGAAATCAATTTTGGGTTCAATGTCATTAAAAATGATGTCGTGGAGGTCTTACATGATTGCTGCAAGAGGTAGTTGCTAGGTCATGGATGTTTGTTAACTGTGTACAACGTACTGATGTGGCAGTCTTTGGGTCACTATGACCTTGAACATTTGTCTTCGTAACAGCCTGGGGTGCTATGACCTTCAACAATTTAAATGTTTTAAGACTTTATTTTGTGCCTAGAAAACTTATTTTCCAGTCCTTCCGAGAAACACCTTGGCCCTCTTGTTATTTATTTCCAGCCGAACATGTTTAGCATTGGCCCACATTATTGCAATGTTCGAAGAGTTCCTACGGGAACGAAGACATTATTTGTTATTTACTTTGTAGAAGAATGTTGAAATTTGCATGTGCAGAGAAGATGTATTACAGGATTTTTCAGAAACATCAAATTTGATGAATGGGAATTACATGCACTGTAATTACGCATGAAAAATTAAAAGATTGTTTTTACAGGCTCATGTGCATAAGGTTGCAAAGTTTTCATGTATTCTAGTAATTAATCCAAAGATTGACTCACAAAGTTAGATACATAAGCTGAATATCTCACAAATTTTACGTATGTTAACACAAAATGATTTGATTCTAAGAAAAAAACCAAATATCTGTTATTGTTTAAAACCCAATTATCAAATTTAATATTTAACAATATGTCTTGCTCTCAATATATTTTTTAATTTATAAAGAAATATTACAAAGTTTTGTAATGCAGTTTTCAATTCGAAATATTTTAACAAACTGAATATATATATGACACAAGAAACAAATTGTTACATATAAAAATTAGTGTTATACACATACATAGTTATGTTATTAATACACTTAAATGTGGAAATTTCAATATAAAATGATTAAAATCAGTGACATTAATGCATCCATTACTATACTGATATTTTTTAAAATGTCATTTGTTCTTAGAATAAATGTAACTAGATGGCCAAGCAGTTAGGGTGGCAGCCTACCACTCTGGGGGACTCGGAATTGAATCTGGATGGGTAGAAAAATCCCAGAAAACTTCTCTAGGATGATTTGTTCGAATACATTGGGCCCCGTTGTGGATCTGGACAAACCTATATGGGCTTGATTAATATTACATGTCTTCCAACACTTTACAAATTATTGACATCCTGTATCACAAACAAAATATACAAACACGTAGAAGAACATGACATTCTTACAGAACAACAAAAAGGTTGCCGTAGAAATCACAGGGGATGCAAAGAACAGTTACTCATAGATTCAGTCATTCTACGGCAAGCACACAAACAACACAGAAACATACACATGGCATATATAGACTACAGAAAAGCATTCGACAGTGTTCCACACAGTTGGCTGCTACAT